AGTGAAATATTGTGAAATAGAACCCTTGAGAAGCCAAATATGAGAGTTGTTACATTAATAAATTTATTAAAATTAAAAAAAAATTATAATTTCCGACGGATTTTTCTGTCGGAAAATTTGACAGCAATTTCTGACGAATTTTTCCGTCAGAAATTTTGACAGCAATTTCCGACGGATTTTTCCGTCGGAAAATTTCCGACAGAATTTTCTGTCGGAAAATTTCGTCGAAAAAATTATTTCCGACGGATTTTTTTCTGACGCCACTTTTTCCGACAGATTGAAATCCGTCGGAAAAAGTAAAATCCGTTAGAAATTTACCTATTTCCGTCGGAAATTTCCGTCGGAAATTTGAATGAGGTGACCATGTGTGCTGACATGGCATACACTGTTGGGTGATGACGTGACAGTCCGTTTGTCACGTCATCATTTAACAGAGGAGACTAACGTCAAGTACTAAATTAAAAAAAAATATTAGTCAGGTAATTTAAACAAATTTTTTTTTAAAAAGTAGTAATTTGAAAATCAAGCTAATTCGAGGTAGTTTAAATATATTTAAACCAAAAAACAAATAATAATAAAGATAATTTTATAAAATTATTTTATTTATTTATTTATTAGTATTTCTTGATATGTGTAAAATAATTTTAAAAAGGCACTTATTATAGGGTAAAAGGAGAAGTAATATGTATATTAATTAGAGTGTGTCATTCGATTTTTTTTTTTAAAAAATAAAAGTAAGGATGCAAAGAGTTATTTATTTTGTTTGCTTTAAAAAATATTACTGACTTTTTAGGATTTTAGATGAAGAGATAAAGCTTACTTTTTAATATATACGTGCTCACTTGGTTTGGAGCTACATTTTGAGTTGGGTTTAATTTTGTAAGTGATAATGTTAATTTTTACTTACATTCTACTACCAAATTTGTTAACACATTCAACTCTTTTCTAACTTTTGACTTATGTAATCCTCAATTTAACTTCTCTTTTGTAAGTAAAGACACTTTGGTTACACATACAGGGTTATACAGATTTAATCCTCATTTTTTGTGATTTTTTTGGATAGGTAATCATGTTGGAAGAAGCCATGTCAAAGAGAAGGAGCTGGATTGAACTCCAATGAAGCTAGCTGGCATTTTCAGTAGACCCGCGCTGAGCCCATATCTCAGCTCGCTCAGCGCATTGGATCTAGGAGTTGTTGGGATATGAATTAATCATGGTGTTCAATCAATCAAAGCCCAAGTGAGAAGCACCCTAGGCCCACCAAGCCCATTGGGCCCACTAAGCTCTGAAGCAGTCAAATCTTCAAGTAACCTCCTGGCCATGGCTCTAGTGGTTGGGCCTTTAGCCCAT